CAGTTCACTCATTAGTATTTTCTTATGGGGCCAATACCATGGTTCAACTAGCTAATCCTCCTGCAAGCTCCAGCATCCCATATGGGCACTGGTTCGTGTCACAGCTGCTCTACTCCCCATCCAGCTTCCTGCTTATGGCCTGGGAAAGAAGTGGAGCATGGCCGAAAAGCATTGGGACCCTGCACCCACAAGGGAGACCAAGAAAAAACTCCAGGCTCCAGGCTTTGGACTGGCCCAGCTCTGGCCATCGTAGCCATTTAAGGGGGTGAACTAGAGTACAAAAGATTCCTTCTCTACTCTCTCTCTTTCTCGCTCTGTCATATAGTTGTGCCTTTCAAATAAAAATAAATCTTCCAAAAAGAAAGAATTGTGATTCTCCTTAATTATTTCCTGCTTATCATTACCTTAAATTGGTTTAAAACCAAAAAAAAAGATGCCCCTACTTAAAAAGCATAGTTCCACAATGAAATCAGATCAGTTACTAGGATGGCTAATACACCAATAGTGCAATGTCACCCAATACAACTGCCACCTGCAGTCTAATTTCAATGACTGACCTCAAGAGTAACAGTCAGCCCTGGCACACACCATTGTCTAAATAAAGATTCTGTTGCTATGCAAACACTACCAAGTGAGACAATTCTTACAAGCCACAAAATGTATTTACAGTACAAAAGCTAAAGCTACATAAATTCACCACCATCAAGACATTTCCTTAAACTCCTAAGACTCTTCACTTATAAGTTGATAATGTATTGTAATACAGGAGGAAAAGAGGCTAAAAGTGCCCATTTGTGAAAACAAATTATTAAAAGATCATTACCAAATTCCTAACTACTCTCACATACTGATTAACCTAAGAATCTGTTAGAATTTCTATGCCCAGAGATCAATAATGGACGATAATTCTCATCAAAACCAAACAAACAAAAAAACACAGGGAGTTGACAACACAGAGGAAGATTTGATGTCCATAAAACCACTTCTAGACTGTTTGACATATCCTCATCTCCTCCCTAATCAATTTTATAAAGCAAGCAAATCATATTCTAAAGATCTATGTTTGAGAGTTCATAAAGCCAACGAGATTTATGAATCTACAATTCAACCTTCATTATAAATTATAAAAACACCTTTACACATATAAATGCATTTTCTCCACATTATAAATAATAATCCACCTTCTCATGTTTACGAATGGAAAGGCATCTTCCCCCTACAGAGCCTTACATTCAGAGTTTAGAAAGATTCAATGAACCAACAGCAGTACATGAAATGTAACATGCTGTTTTAAATAAAAATAAAACAAAATTATCAAAGGATGCAAAAGCTGAAAACCGTGAAAAAGAAGACCAAGAGATACAGGGTGGATTTTAATCTTATATTAAACCTGATTTATACAGAAATCTGGTTCCCAAATCCAACATGTAATCTCACACTATTTGCAATGTAAATGCACCACGTCTCCAATACAAACTCCACTAACTCATAAAAGACAATTGTCATAAACCTATAAGAATACAGCCAGACCACGATGTAAGTAACAAAAACTGCAAAAACTGAACAATGGAATATGATGAGACTTTCGGAGCTTCCATTAGCCATCAAAATCAGCTTACAGTAAATCTTGTTTGTGATGAAGAACTGAGCATCTGGATAAGCACTCCTCAAACTTCTTTGATAACAATATCTAATTTTATTCCCTCTGCCCCATCCCCTCTGCTTTGAAGTTAGTTTTACTGAATTAATTCTAAGTTTTTCCAAGAATTGTAAAACACTCTCAGAACAAAAATAAGGCTCCTGGGACGGGCCTGGCGCAGTAGACTAGTGATAAATCCTCACCTTGCTTGTGCCAGGATCCCACGCGGGCACTGGTTCATGTCCAAGCTGCTGCACTGCCCATCCAGATCCCTGCTTACAGTCTGGGAAAGCAGTAGAGGATGGCCCCAAGGATTGGGATCCTGCACCCATCTGGGAGACCCAAAAGATGCTCCTGGCTTCAAATAAGTTAGCATCAGCTATTGAAGCCATGTGGGGAGCGAACCAGCAGATGGAAGATCTTTTTCACTTTCTCTCTGTAAATCTGCCTTTCCAATAAAAAATAAATTAATCTTACACACACACACACACAAAAAAATCCCGGCACTAGCATATGCCCCAATAGGAAAGAAACCACTCCTTTGATCATGTCAAGCCTTTTTTTTTCCTTTAAAAGAAATAAATGATTACTTTTACCAAGGTTAATTAATGTCTAGAGCAAGTTGGAAGACCAAGTGTAAACACTATAAAATTACATTTTCGTGGTTAAGTCATACAGACCAGGGCCAGCGAGGTGATGGAGCAGGCTAATTCTCCCCTTACGAGGCCAGTATCCCATAAGGGTGCCAGGTCAAGTCCCAGCTGTTCCACTTCTTATCCAGCTCCCTGCTAATGGCTGGAGAAAGTAGTGAAAGATGGCCCAAGGGCTTAGGCTCTTTCATCCACTGGGAGACCCAGAAGCAGGGCCTGGCTCCCAGCTTTGGATCAGCCTAGCTCCGGCTGGCTGTTGCAGCCACTTCGGGAGCAAACCAACAGATAGAAGCACTCTCTCCTCTCTCTCTCTGCATCTCCCTCTAAAACTCTGACTTTCAAGTAAAATAAAGAAATACTTCAACGCAAACAAACAAGAAAAAGGCATGCAAATCACAGGAGAGGAACAGCTACCATATGAATAGACAGTGAACGCCTATCTCAAGGCAGCTCCAGCGGCTTCTGAGGTCCCAGGCATTCCTTGTCAGATCCTTCCATGCATATCAAAATAGCACCAATTCCATCGCAACAGCAAAGGGCAAAACCATGTAAAAAACTCCAGACACTGTTAATCCCTCCACAAGGCTAATTATATACAATTCTAAACTTAATATCTTCGACCTAATGTATTGTTTCACACCTACAATAGCATAAAGTCAGGGGGAAAAAAAGAGCAATAGGGTGAATACAATCTTAAATTTTAAGTTTTGCCTTAGACTTAATATCAATATATGAAAGACATATTAAAGACATACTTGATGTCAAAGTATAAATGAAAGATTAAAAAGTAACATCAAAATATGAGGCTGGTGCGGTGGCATAGAAGGTTAAGCCTCAGCCTTGGTGCCAGCATCCCAGAGGAGTGACACTTCAAATCAGGGCTGCTCCACTTCCGATCCAGCTCCCTGCTAACGTGCTTGAAAGCAGTGGATAATGACCGATAGCTTCGAACTGGCCCAGCTATGCCCACTTTGGTCAGTTAGAGAGTGAATCAACACATGCACAATCTCTCTTCCCTGTCTCTCCTTCTCTGCAACTCTGCCATCCAATTTTTTTTTTAAGATGTATTTTATTTTATTGGAAAGGCAGATATACAGAGAGGAGAGACAGAGAGGAAGATCTTCCATCCGATGTTTCACTCCCCAAGTGAGCACAACGGCCGATGCTATGCCAGTCCGAAGCCAGGATCCAGGAACTTCTTCCGGGTCTTCCTCACAGGTGCAGGGTCCCAAGGCTTTGGGCCGTCCTCGACTGCTTTCCCAGGCCACAAGCAGGGAGCTGGATGGGAAGTGGAGCTGCCGGGACTAGAACCGGCGCCCATATGGGATCCCAGCATGTTCAAGGTGAGGACTTTAGCTGCTAGGCCACGTCGCTGGGCCCTGCCATCCAAATTTATAAATAAATAAATAAAAGGTGGCATATATAGAAGGTGTAACTTCATTACATATGAACCTGTATCATTCATGTATATATAACTATTCACATTTAAATTAATTTTAAGTTAAATGATAACTATTTTAAATTAAAACTTGCTTAAAATAAATCTCAAAATCTGCTTGAACCCTGTAACTTTGCCTTTCGGTATAAATCGTCTTCTAGGTTCAAGAAGATGGGTGCCCTAACAGAATGCTCAGGAAACACACACAAAGAAAAGAAGAAACAGTTTAGTTGTGAAGAAAAAATATGTTAAATGTAACGTAAGAACTTTGAATACAGTTAGATACTATTTGCACCACAATATTAAAAGTGAACTTTCTTCAATTTGGGATTTAACTTATGATTATCTCTGAATACCTTTATATATATAACTAACTATATATCATTCTATTTCAAGTGAAAACCAGAAAAAAAATTTAATATTTTCTTATTTTGGGGCCTGGCACTGTGGCCTAGTGGCTAAAGTCCTCGCCTTGAACGCCCGGGATCCCATATGGTTGCCAGTTCTAATCCCGGCAGCCCTGCTTCCCATCCAGCTCCCTGCTTGTGGCCCGGGAAAGCAGTCGAGGACGGCCCAAACCTTTGGGACCCTGCACCTGCGTGGGAAACCCAGAGGAGGCTCCTGGCTCCTGGCTTTGGATCGGCACAGCTCCAGTCATTGCAGTCATTTGGGGAGTGAATCATTGGACGGAAGATCTTCCTCTCTGTCTCTCCTCTTCCCTATATATCTGACTTTGCAATAAAACTAAATAAATCTTTAAAAAAAGATTTTCTTATTTTTACTGGAAAGGCATATATACAGAGAGAGATACAGACAGATCTTCCATCTGTTGATTCACTCCCCAAGTGGCTGCAACAGCCAGAGCTGAGCCGATCTGAAGCCAGCAGCCAAGAGCTTCTTCCAGGTCTCCCATGTGGGTGCAGGGTCCCAAGGCTTTGGGCCATCTTCTACTGCTTTCCCAGGCCACAAGCAGGGAGCTGGATGGGAAATGGAACAGCTGGGATATGAAACAACACCCACATGAGATCTTGGCACAAGCAAGGAAAGGATTTAGCCACTAGGCTATTGTGCAGGGCCTGAGAATTTTTTAAAAATCTACAATCACAACTATAACCATCGATTTTTATTAGTATTGGAAAAACAATAAAAAATGGAAGCTCTTTTTTTATAAAAGCACCATGACTGGTTAGTTGAAACAACAGTGTTACATTCCCAATACCAAGGTGGATATTAAAGAAAATAGTCACATACGATGATAAAATTTGTAGCTTACTTTGTGCCATTTCACAGAAGTTTATCTGGAAGCCTAAAGTAAAAGAGATAAGCTCCAGTTCATTTACTGTAAAACAAACCAAATTAGAACATGACACTGCATTTTTACATTCTATTCGGAGAAAAACCAATTCAAGAACAGTTGCAATCAGATTACTCTCAACCTCGAGGGGCCCTCTTCAAGAACTCCATTCTCAGCTGCAGAGCTGCCACGTGGTACAGAACTGAAATCAAACTGCAACTTTTAGTCAACAATTGTTAACCTCTATTTTTTCTCATTTGCTCAAAAATTAAAAAAAAAAAAAGCTGTTAACCCTTCAGAAGCTCTTGCCAACTTGTAACACAGTTCTGTCCATTTTTTCCATGTTTCCAAGCTACAAATTCAAAGCCTGCTGCAGGTCCCTGGGAATGAAAGGGCAGAGCAGGGTTAGAAATTATAGGAAGTCACAAGAACAAAGCTTGCAAACTCTTCTGTCACGCGAACGTGTGTTCCAGATTACTTGGATCTGGTTATTCCTCTTGCGGATGCCATACACAGATGTGGCTCTGTTTTTTAATATACCCAAGTCAAATCAGCCATTTCAAACAGAGGTCTTGTGAAACACCCTTTTGCTCTCTGGATTACTGAGTGGATACCCAGTTTTCTTAGTGGTCCCTCTCTGTTTGGGTTTTCTGCTGCTCTGACAGAAAATATAACTTTTAAATGACTTTGTATTTAAACAAAAGAAAGATGCAAGAAGGAGAGCCCTGAGTGAAGGAAGGATATGTTTAAGCAGTCATTTCTACACAGTGACTAAGATTTCTAGGATCTTAATATGAAGACATCATAATGTGTAAAAATTGCAAATTCTAATGTGGCTTGTTCATGAAAAAAAGTGCAGCAAAAAGGCAGCCATGAGTGACCAACTAAGGAGGCAGGACCTAATTGTGCATAAAAGGGCCTCTCCTGGCTTATGCCATGGCCACGCCTCTCAGCCACTAAAAACGCACAAGCTGCCCCACCACACATGCAGCAGGAGGAGAATCCAGAAAAATCTGACATCCAATGGCTCATACAATCATGTCACTCCACCCCCTAGCAGGCCTACCAAGCCCAGCACACAGTCAGGAGAGCATGCCCTGCAGGACAGGCCCAGGCGCCAAGCCTCCTTCCTCATCCCACCAGGAGGCAGAGAACTCCAGAAAAAAGGAAACACTTAAGCAATCTTAAGGCAACAGTTACTCTTAGCAACTCTAAACATGATGGGTGAAAGACACAAAGTAGCTAAAAAGAAAGGGAAGAGACAAAAAATAAAAACAGCCTTGATGCCATCTGTTCATATCCCAGCTGCTCCACTTTTGATCCAGCTCCCTGCTTACTGCCTGGAAAAGCAGTGGAGGATGGTTCAAGTCCTTGGGCACCTGCACCCGCATGGGAGACCTAGAAAAAGTGGCTTCAAACCAGACCAGCTCTGGCCATTGCAATCATGTGAAAATGAACCTGCAGATGGAACATCTTTTTCTCCTCTCCAACTCTGCTTTTGAAATAAACATTTAAAAAAAATGCTATTCTGTATGGAAGGTTACATAAAAAGTTACAGAATAAAGTGTACAACAGGGAAAAAACTAAAGGTCCACGGGATTGAGAATGGTACACTGTTACCAACTGCTGCACTAACACATCAAAAACTCGGCTAAAAACTTAAGCCCAGTTAAGTTTTAAAAAGTTCTCAAAATAAAATCCTAACATCAAAACAGAATTGATGCAAATGCAAAAATCTTGGGAGTGAAATTAGCACAGAATAACTCTCAATTTCCTTTTCTTTAAAACCTAATTGTAGGGCCCAGCACCACAGCGTAGCAGTTAAAGTCCTCACCTTGCACGCCTGGTTCTCATATGAGCACCAGTTCTAATCCCCGCAGCAAAACTTCCCATCCAGCTCCCTGCTTTTGGCCTGGGAAAGCAGTCGAGGACGGCCAAAGCCTTGGAACCCTGCACCCACATGGGAGACCTGGAAGAAGCTCCTGGCTTCGCATTGGCTCAGCTCCAGCCGTTGTGGCCGCTTGAGGAGTGAACCATCGGACGGAAGATCTTCCTCTCTGTCTCTCCTCCTGTCTGTATATCTGACTTTGCAATAAAAATATAATAAATCTTTGAAAAAAAATACCTAACTATAGATAATGTTAAATGGTGAATGCACTCTGAGGTCTGCTAATAAAATTCTGTCTACGTTATCTCTCAGTCAGGAAAGACTCAATAACTAATCTAGATCTAACTGATAAGTAAGAACTAAATTAACTGTAACATCATGGCTCACCTTTCCTCCAGCAAGTCCATAGCTTGTATTCTCAATGAAATCCAGGAAAAGGCTATTTTAGGCTAAGTCTTTTTGTATCTCTAAATGACAATACATACATGAGGACACTTGCAGAAGTCAAAGAGAGCTTACAGTACAGATGTGCAAACAGCTCTGCGAGCTCATACTCACAGGGTACGGAGGCTGCCAACAAGAGAAAGATCTAGTGTCAGAGAAAGACAATGGGGGCAGGGAAGAGTGTGGCACTGCTGGGCCTCCATCTGTGGTGCTGGAAGCGAAAAATGGTCCAGGTCCTCGGACCCCTGCACCCACCTGCGACAAATGGATGGAGCTCCAGGCTTCTGGCTTTGTACCAGCCCAGCTCTGGCCACATGGAAGACTTCTCTCTCTCTCTCTCTCTCTCTCTCTCTCTCTCTCTCTCTCTCTTTCTGTCTCTCCTTATCTCCCTGCTAATCTGCATTTTCAATAATGAAACCATGGGCTGGGCATGGTAGCCCAGGAGCTAAAGTCTTTCCCCATGCATACACTGGGATCCCATCTGGGTACCAGTCTGTATTCCAGCTGTTCTACGTCCCTTCCATCTCCCTGCTTGTATCCTGTAAAAGCTGTTAATAATGGCCCAAAGCCTTGGAACCCTGCACCTGGGTGGGAGACATGGAAGCTCCTGGTTCCTGGCTTCAGCTTGGCTCAGCTCTGACGATTATGGCCACTTGGGGAGTGACCCACAGGTGGAAGATCTTTCTCTTTATCTCTCCTTCTCTTGGTAAATCTACTTTTCCAGTAAAAATAAACAGATCCTTTAAAAAATATTTTTTAAACACAAAATTTTTAAATGGAAAATAGTATTTCAAAAAGGAAAAACACAAATTGGAAGGTGTCAGGAAACCAGCACTTTGTTTCCAATTGCAAAACTCATCCTCCCACCTGAACCCTAGTTTAAGATTTATTTTATTTTTATTGGAAAGTTAGATTTACAGAGAGAAGGAGAGACAAAGAGAAAGATGTTCCATCTGCTGGTTCATTCCCAGCTAGCTGCAATGACTGGAGCTGAGCCGATCATGAGCCAGGAGCCAGGAGCTCTTCCTGGTCTATTTATTTTTTAAGATTTATTTATTTTTATTAGAATGTCAGATTTCCACAGAGACAGAGAGGAAGATCCTCCATCTCATGATTCACTCCCCAGGTGGCTACAATGGCTGGAGCTGAGCCAATCCAAAGCCAGGAGCCAGGAGCCAGGAGCTAGGAACCTCTTCCGGGTCTCTGGTGAGGGTGCAGGGTCCCAAGGCTTTGGGACCTTTCCCAGGCCACAGCAGGGAGCTGGATGGGAAGTGGGGCCACCAGGACACAAACTAATGCTCAGACATTTGCAAGGGTCACCAGACACCGCAAGGTCCTGTCTTCATATGCTAGACCTTTTCTTCACTGTAGCCAAAGACTGACCTTTCACCTTCCTCACTGACCATCTGACTGCACACCTGGTTTGATGGGACACAGCAGGTCAGAGACAGTAACACAATTACAGGACTTTGGGCAAGGATAATAGTAACTATGAGCCTCAGTTTCCACATCTGTCAAGCACAATCACATCCGAAACTGTTCCTGTGACGACTAAACGAGAGACCTTGGCTGAAATGTTTACTAAGTGCTCTGGCACGATAGCCTAGTGGCTAAATCCTCCCCTTGCATTCTCTGGGTTCTCATATGGGCACCAGTTCGTGTCCCACCTGCTAAATTTCCCATCCAGCTCCCTGCTTGTGGTCTGAGAAAGCAGTCCAGGACGGCCCAAAGCCTTGGGACTCTACACGTGCGTGGGAGATCCAAGAGAAGCTCCTGGTTCCTGGTTTTGGATTGGCTCAGCTCCAACCATAGCAGCCACTTACGGAGTGAAGCCACAGGTGGAAGATTTCTATCTCTCCTTGTCTCTGTAAGTCTCTTTTCCAGTAAAAATCAATGAATCTGTGCCCGGCGCCATAACGTAGTGGTTAAAGTCCTCACCTTGTAAGCGCCCGGGATCCCATATGGGTGCCAGTTCTAATCCCGACAGCCCTGCTTCCCACCCAGCTCCCTGCCTGTGGCCTGGGAAAGCAGGCAAGGATGGCCCAAGGCCTGGGGACCCTGCGACCATGTGGGAGACCCGGAAGAGCTCCTGGGCTCCTGGCTTCACATTGGCACAGCTCTAGCCATTCCAGTCACTTGGGGAGTGAACCATTGGACAGAAGATCTTCCTCTCTGCCTCTCCTTTCTGTATATCCATCTTTCCAACAATAAAAAAAAAAAAATCTTTATTAAAAAAAATGAATGAATCTTAAAAAAGAAAAGAAAAAGACTCATTTGTGGCTATGTTAACTACTACGGCCACAAGGTAGGCCAACCTTATGTTCTGGGACCGTTTATGTTTATATCCTGAAGGCACAACCTAGCTAAGGGCACGGCGGAACATTCGAAGACTTACTGAGTTACAAAACGAGCCCATTAGCAAATAGTCATTCGCCCAGATAACAAATTTAGCCAAAATGGCAACATACGTTAACATCCATGTCAAAGGAATTCCTTTTACATACTATATTCCAGCAGGTTTAGAACTCCCCCGAGCAAAGCAGCATCAGGAAGCAGATTCCCAAGACTGCCACCAAAGTGCCTTGGCGCTTCACATCTCCACCCCTGACTCAGACCTTCTATTCTGAACTCTGTATCCCTCCTGGCACAGCCTCTGCTTCAAATCTGAATGGCTAAAAGG